TTATGTCATCAGGAAAAATCCCATGGCAAACCACCAAACAAAAATTTCACAAAAAGTATATGTAATGAAATAAAATAAACTTCTAGTTTTTTTTACTCAAAATTGTACTCCTGTTTAGTTGAAGACATTGCTGATGTACTGGCAGGAATTGAAGAAAGACACTCACAAAGATCTTCTTCAACAGCTCGAATTATGTATCTTGTTTCAGTTTTAACCATATGCTGCCCCCTAATGGAAAAGGATTTAATTGCTCTGCCTGTCACGCATTGACAAACAAAGAAAAAAATATTTGCAATAAATAAATAATAGTTTGGTGACATTGGATAGACACACCTAATGATGCCTCACGGCACCTTCTCTCCAACATTAATGTGACATTATACTGAAAGATTCTGTGGAATCTTCAAATCCAAATTTGATCTGTTAATATCATTTGGCCAAAGAATGTGACTTGGCCGGCCTTTATGTGAATATTATAGTGAGTTTACGTGATTTCCCCCAGCCCCAAAAACCAGCCCTACTTGGTAGAAAAATGCTTTTCTTGACCAAGAATGCAATTTTTTAATTCACTAATAAATATTTTTAGCACCTCCCAGGCAAAAAAAAACCCAGCCAGAGAACAAAAAAAATCAACCCTAGGATTGGGTCGTTAGTGTGAAAATATGTGAGTGCAAATGAGATGCAGACAGAGTCAAAACACTGAATCCAGCATGGGGAGACAGAGAGACAGAGAGAGGGAGAGAGAGAGGGGATGTGGTTTAACTTTGAATTCTGAAACTGAACTCTGAGGTCAAATCATTTTTTTAAAATTCTAAGCATTCCTGATTGCCGTTAAATGGAAATGGTAGTTCAGTCTTCTTTTTGATAATATTGCCATATTTACATGTAATAATCAATGATAAAATATTATATTTAATTATCTGTATTTCTAAATATGTTTTTAATATTTATTTTAAAAAATATTTATTTTAGATGCAATAAACACTTAATACAGTCATCAAGATATATTGTGATACCTTGACACAAGATTAAATATATATATATATAATATTTAAAAAAAACGTTTTACCTTTATGCAACAAAATAATGTTCTAATGCACATTTTGGGCAGGACCAAGTCAGCACTAACATGTGGGATTGATGGGGTGTAAAGTGGGTCTAAGACCCATTTAGGTTTGTCTGTCATTTATGGACAGAACCCATGTAAATTTCCTAAATGAGCAAATGATGGGGTACAGCCCACAGCTCTCCCAGTTCTAATCTACGTACTGACTCTGTCAAAGAGTGACATGACCTCAGTGTCAGGCAGCAGGCTGTGGTGATTTATGCACATTGTGCTTCTTTAAGTGTGATGAAAGGATGCGTCGTGCATTACAGATGATAAATTCAGAGGTAATACTTGCCAGGCTGTTGACTTGGTAAATACCCAGAATACTTGGATCACTCTGTAGAAGCAATCTTGGCAAAGCTCTTGAATTTAGGACACACCAAATTAACTGCAGTAATTACAGCTGTGGTAAATAGAACACACAACTCCAACCAAGAGGATGTCTATAAATAAACACAAACCAATAAAATTCAAATGTAATTATCTTAAAAATAAACCATTATGCTCAGATGTCATGTCCTGATCTAAAGCAGTAGAAAACCATCCTCGGACCTTTCACTGCTCCTCACCTTAGGATCACTGTTTCATAGTAACCATGACAACGGCAAACAAGTCCACAACTCTTGATTTGTTTGAGTTGCACTGAGAGATGCATAAAATTAAATATTAAAAGTCCCAATAATACTGCTGAAGGTGGTCGTGTGTGTTTCTGTGTGTTGTACATTCAGGATAAAACACCTTGTGAGTAGATTGGACCACTTTGTCCTGTACTGTAAATAATCAGAGGCAGTAGGTTGGCTGAAAAAGTGATGAGGACCAGGGGTGTAATGCTGAATAAACACGTAAATGTTGCACAAACACCATATGTCTGGTAATAAACAACACAGGAATGGTTTACAGTAGAGGAAAACACTACAAACGAGTCAATCAATTTATAAAACACTATTTGTTTCATGAAGATCAGACCCCGGCCTTCTGACTCACACCAACACACTCTGAAGCTTAGAGGAGAAACAAGCATAACTGTAAACGTTGAATGGATACTGTCTACACAATGTCTCATCTGTAAAAAAAAATAAAATAAATAAGTAGAAAAAATAAAATAAAATAAAAATAAATGAATGGTTTTCTGATGAAAAAATATTTCAAAAGACTCCAGTAGATTTGCTGTGTCAAACACATCATAATGTCCTTGTTGTTTTTTTGTTTTGTTTTGTTTTGTTTTTTTTGTTAATGGCTGATGCTGGAAAGTGTCATCAATAAAATGATGTCTCTGGGTCATGGCACATTTCTAAACTACAAACTTTAACTCCTGCAGAGTGTGGACAGTGGGAGAGCAGCACCAAAAGATCTTGTTTGACTGAGTAAGAATCAATAAAAAGAAAAATATATATATAAAGTATCAGTATCAGTGTTAGGGGTTTCATTCCCACAGTAATGGTCTGTTTCTCTCCCCTTCCACCCATTTATATATTTTTCTGAATAATAATTAACAACAGCTTTTCTAATGTTAGTGAATAGTGATGTTTTGCTCAAACCCAGTACTGCAGGGTTGTCGTCGCTTGAACATCTGAACTTGTTGTAGAAGTTTCTGCAGCTGTAACTGGATGAAACGATTCATTTCATTCAAAAATAGAGAGTAAATATTTGTAATCTTTTTCACCTGTTCCTAATGTAATCTCCCAACCAGATCATGTTGTTATGGAGTTAGATTAGGTCATGAATTGTGAAAACAAATAAAGTCGATTCTGTCAAAATGAGAGGGGAATAAATGAACAGGTCCCTAACTTTGACACAAAGATTGTCTACATGATGCATTGACGAAAAAAAACAAAACAATAACTATATTAAATACCAGCAACCGGCAGTGAATTTCTCAAACGCATCACGTGCCACCTCGCAGCTGTATTTGAGCCGTGATACGTCACTGTACATGCACACGAACAAAGAGAGATTAAAACAGAAGCTCCGGTGAATTAGACACAACATGAACTCACAGTGTGTGGTTTGTCTGTGCAGGACCGCAGCTCAGTGACGCTGTGGCTGCGGCGGAGCCTCCGTGACAGGACGAGGCGGCGGCGGCGGCGTCCGCGGTGTCCGGAGGGAGGACACAGAGCAGCGAGGGTCAGCATCGGCCTGGTCTTTCTGCAGGAATTAGCCTTCAATCCACGGACGAGGGATCCCACTGGTGACGAACTGGTTGTTTGTCACCATCGTGTCTGTAAAACAGAGTCGTCTTGTTACTCAGAAAGTTCGTCAGGTTCGGCTGTAAAATATTAAAATGCCATCAGAAGTTTCGACAGCGTCCTCCCTCCTCTCACACCCTGTGGCATCGAACGGTCTTAAGACACATGGTAAACATATTGGGAATCGAAAGAATGGTTCGATTCATGAAAAGTATTGATTCACTGTAAAAACAGTGTTATCATTATGGCCGTAGAAAATTTAGAATTGAGAAAACAATGACATGAAGAGGCATTAATTAGGCCTTGTGCTTGGTTTGAATCCAACGTGTACTTTAAGACTACAGAAACAGATGCAGTTGGACACAAAATTGTTTGCCTTTTAGGGTTTATTTTTCTCTTTTTAAAGCAGTGGTTCCCAAAGTGAGGGGCAGGACCCCTAGGAGCACAAGAATAGGACAGCAGAGACTGGGGAAAAGAGCAAATGCACTGCAGAAATTGCACCGATTTTACATTTAAATTCTGTTTTTCAGTTAGAGTACAGTTTTGTTGGAGTCACTAATGTATTAAATAATTGTGTTTTGAAGCAATAATAAAATACTGTCAACCTGGGAAACAGTCTTTACTTCACATTTTTATTTCTCTGAGATTTCATAAAGGGCTAGGGTTAGACCAACATTAGAGTAATCAGTACACAGTGAGTATTTGATTTTAATTTCAGCTCAAAGGTTTAAAACGTGGGAAAACCTATACCACATTTTTACACATTTCATGAGTTCATCTAGAATAGTCACCATCCTCTTTTCCATCCCAGAATACCTGATGCATTATTTGACTGAAATATTTACATAAAACAAATCAGCTTAACTATTATTTAACATACCAACTGGGACTTGGTGACTAAGGTTTATCCTGATCAACCCCAGGTTGTTTACATCGATACGGATTCAGAAGAGTTATATTGTTGATGAAAGTTAAATGGAGCAGCCCACTGTGTATAATGGAGAGAGCCATGCGGGTATCTCACCATGTTTTTATATGTGTGTGTGCATGAGTGTGAGAATAATCCCTTCGTTTGAAAGAAAAATGAGAGAGCAATGTGTTGGCAACTGAGTGGGAAGTATAGGAGCCAGCCGCGTCTACAGACTCACATCAACCTTTTCAAGGGAGGAGAACGCCTGCTGTTTTCCTCTTAGGCCGTGACCGACTGTATGAATTCATTGTGCCTTTACGGGATCACTGGTCCAAAACCCAGCACCGAATCCCCCGTGCCCCCTGCCAACCCATCAATTGGGCATACATTTATTATTTTGACCTTTCTCTTCACAGCAGAGAAACATCAAAGTAGGTCCTGGACTTGTTCTCTGTAAGAAGACGGAGGTGTCATCACAGTGTGAGCAGCAGACTGCTGAGCTGGTTTTGTTGTCAGTGAAGAAGAAAAATGAAGTCTGGGTCACAGTGATGAAAATAAGATTCAATTAGGCCACAGCGTATGGACAGGGAAAACAACGGGATTAAAAGCGGCTATGCTAATAAGTGAGGAGATGTGTGTGTGTGTGTGTGTACATTTATGACCAATGAAATCCTGTCTAATTGATTATTAATTAATATATATGCTAAATGTATCTCTATCTTTAAGGAATTTTAGGTACAATTATGTATGTACATACATATGCTAAATATTGAACTGAATATTTGTTTATTGAAACAAAGTTTAACACTGTGTGAGTAGAGTAACGTTATTGTTTTGTTTCTGCTAAATACTGTGAAAATGAAACTTAGTTTTTCAACATTTGATAATAATTAATAGGGATTTGATAGCGGTGAACAAAGACAGGTGTTGTCAAAAAAGGTTTGATTTGTAGAAAATAAAAGTCACTTTTTTCTACTTAAGACTTTAAACAAAATATTTTCCAGTAAAACTGATGAAATATTATTGTATTTGACGAAAACAATATTTTAGTCGACGTGCTTTAGGGAGACCAAGTAGGTTTGGGTTTACTGTGTGGCTCTCTAACATACAACATAAATGAGATCTTCTTTTTCTTTCGGCTTTGTCCCCTTTTTTTTTACAACATAAATAAGATCAATTTACCATATTCACATATTATCTTTGTTAACTGTTCTTTTAATTTATGTAAGTACACTATATGTTGACTGTTTATGAGAGAGAACTTGATAAGGTGAATAAAAAGAACAGTGGACATTCAAAACATTTTTCTTTTTAAATTTCAATGCTTCAAAAAAACATCAGTAAAAAAACAAACAAAACAGAATTATATTCAAGTAAAAGATAAAAATATGACCTCTTTAACCATATGTACAATTAAAGTTCTCAATTAAACAACACAATGTAATGAACTCTGCACAGAACAAATATATGCCATGTCCTGAAAACATTCAGCATGTGCTGCTGACCATGGTCGATGTTCAAATAATAATTAATTATGAATAAAAACGGACATTGGGATCTGCCTAGTTCTGTCTCCTACACCTCATGACCAGCACATGATCAGACAATGATCACCATGGACAGTTTAGCAGACAGAGTCTTTTATATGAAGCCAATTGCACTTGAAAAAATTAGTAGATCGAAACTTGTTTATATTTATTTATGTTAATGAACAGTTTTAGTAGACGTAGAAAAAAAAACTATTAAGCAACCCGCGTGTATGTACGACAAGTCAGAGTTGGTAACTGTACAAGTAACACGTGTTTAAGGACGAAAAACTTAGGTGAGTTATTTTAAATGTCAAAACTACGTTATTTCATAAATTTTACCAACAGAGCCCCCTAGTGTCATATTATTGGAACAACACCCAAATAAAGAGATGTTTATTTTTTAATATACTGAGCTTAAAACTCATTCTGTGGTTGTTGTGGAAAACGTGTGTCCACTTCCTGGGATAAATAAGTCTAAATTATATAAAAAAATAGAAATAAAATTTTATTAAAATCAATAATAATAATTGTATTTAAAACTCTTAAGTTGATCTTTCCCAAAATTGTAATTCTGCCCAAAATAATTACTAAACATACATTTTGTGTTGCGTTGATGCGTTATTATTTATTGCACTCAATGACACTCACATATAGAGAGTGTTTCCCTGTACAAAGACAGCTGTTTTGGGTAGATTTTCTTTAGATTATTTAACAACAAGCAAATAAAATCTATTTTTTGTTTCTCTACATGCTTAATTACCAAATGTGATCTATATCCAACCACCACATCTAATGTTAGCCAAACGTACATGTAATTTAACATGTAATGTTAAATTAAGTTGAACTCATGTGCATCATTACATCATAAGGTAATTTGGTTTGAAACAAACATTGAAGTTGAACTTTTAAACCCCAGAGGCCTGTTCTCACCTTGTTGTAAAGTCATTACCTGTTAAACCACCTGTGAATATCAGTTAAAGCCGTGAAAAAACAAACCATAACAACAACAAATGATGCAACTAAGTGTTATGAGTCAGAAACAACATGCATTGAATGTGAAAAGCACTGCAGGGAGTTGGAATGAGCTAAATGTACTTTTATTAATATATTTATAAATAAAACAATAACAATTTATATATTTATATATAAATATACTAACATTTGTATGTTTGAATAATTAAATCAATCCACGGCTAGAAACTAGCCCCTGTTAGCATTGCTGGTCAATAAGAATAATGGTATTCAGCTGGTTAATATGTTAGATTCTGTGTAAAGCAGCTGACTTTTTTAAAAATCTGCCATGGGTAAAATGCCTGTTTGTTTGTTTTTTACTATAAATGGAAAATGTTTTGTTTGTGTTAATAATTTACGCTTCATAAATAAAGCCAGTGTGTTCAGAAATATTGTCTAGAATTTCTTCAATGTATAAGATAATAGTTATTTAGCACCAATATACAAGAGGTAGTTAATTAGGTAAAATAAAATAATAATGTTATATGTTATAAAAGCTACAATATAAAACGAATATATCCACAATATCACTATTTGAAAGGCGATAGGATACTCCACACTGGCAGGGGGCGCTATTGCGTGGCACTGGAAATGTACATCCTCCTGCCAGTCTGAAGTGAAGAAGTGAAGAGGCGGAAGTGCTCGTTCCCGGTAATAATTATTTAACTCAAATTAAAAAACAGAAATTACTAAAATTTTAACGTTTATATAAATGTGCTATTAAATTACAGTGGTCTACAAATATCGACCATTGTTTTGGTTAAATTTGGGAGTAAATGATGCAGGTAATCGCTGGAACTGTTTCTCTATTGGACAAGTTCAACTTAAAACTTAAATTAAACTGCTCTGTTTAGATTTTGATTTTAGTGATATTTAAAACTGACAGACTAACACTGACCGTAGTCAGTTGAGTATAAGCGGGTTCAGTGACGTTGTTCGGTGTCACAGTCTGTTACAATATCAAGGTTCTCCCTTCTTGAGCATGAAGATGGTTTGCATATCGATTAAAATCATACTCTGTTGTGATTTTAGGCAGTACCAGTGTGTGTGTGCGTTGTTTACATATTACTTACAGTGCACTGCGAGAACTGGGACCGTTTAGGATGAGGTTTCAGGGAAATGGCTTCAACAAACGAGTGATGACTGCTGCTGAATGATGTGGCACGTGATGTGAAGTCCACGCATGTTACGTCCAGCACAACAACAATGACCATGATAACGCCGCACCATATTGATTTTATGAACTGTGTTCAACAAGCATTTATCAAAAATGTCTAACTGATAAAATATTTAAAAAACGATGATGATAACAATAATGTATTAAAATGCCATATTCTCTTCCATTTTTTACTTCCACACAGCCACCATTTTATAATATTTTGAGGCAAAACTAAATGATTATACCATTAAATAAGGATTTCCTAAACCTCAGAATGACTGACCCAGTAGTGTACACAATCTCACATTTCACCACTACTTATTTTGTCCAGGGAAACATGTCACAACAACTGGGAAACAGCCATCGCAGGTTTCTACAGACCTTGATGACCTGTGGCAGTGTTGACGAACCTGGAGCTCGATCTCTCCATCAGCACTGCTGTGAAACACACAACAGTGAGTGATTTATTGTGGTGTCAAAATAATCTAGGACCATTCAAAGTAGTTAAATGTTTATACTTGTGGATAAAACACAATAGTATTAATTCATGGTATTAATTCTTTTTTTAGCCCAGTATGTCCCTGACCAACTGGACAATTTCATCAATGCCATCAACTCAAAGCTGCAGCCCTTGTTTATGCAGATCAGAAAAGGCATGTCTGAAGAGAGTGGTCAACAACACTACGCTCTGGTTTGTCTCTTTAATTCTTCTTTATGTCCTTTGTGTTTAAGCGTGTATAATTTTTTTCATCTCCAACCTGAGATGTTAACTGCCAACTTCTCTACTGCTGTCCAGGTAAACATGGCTGAGACCGAAGTGACCAGGATGTCATCAGATTATACCGAGAATGAGCTGGAGCTGTTCAGGAAAACCGTGAGTCACTAGAGGAAATTAGAACAACATGAGTGCCAAATGCTGCTCTGTTGTATGTAGCCAATTTTTTGAGACCTGAGTGGAAAATGTCCAGTTTATAGTCCGGTTATATTTTAAGGCAGGCCTCATTTAAACCTATTATTTTGCTGATTTAAATCTATAGCTTTTCACACAGTTTGTCTGTATTAATGGGAAACATGTAAGGACCTTATACAGACAAAAACGTTGCTCTAACACTTTACCCTGGAAAAGCTAAACACCTGATTCAAATGATCACTTGTCTAAAAGTTAGCCCAGAAACACTTAGCAGTTAGCAGTAAATGTTTGATACTGGTGGTCAAATCTAGCCGAAACACCTATTACTCAAGTGATAAAAGAGGAAACTTAAATTTGGTTGTGCTGTTGAAATTAGACATAATGTAACTTGGATGTTTCTACACAGATTGACCTGATCGTGGCCTCAGACAATGGTCTAGCGTTATCCACTGACATCCTGAACAGTGCTGACACCTTGACCACAAAAAAACTAAAAAAGACAGAGACGGAGCAGCTGTTAAAGCGACTGGTGCAGGACAAATGGCTCTGTGAGGTAAATACTGCCCCACGTAGCAACAAGGATGTAATTAAACTCCAAATGTTTTTAAATATTTTTGATACTACTAGAGGAACACTGGGCATCTGCTTTGCCCAGTCCCTCTACTACTACACTACCCGATGTTAGTTTACTGTTGTGTATCCTCAGAAACAAGGCGAATATACCTTGTCTACCAGATGTATCATAGAGATGGAGCCGTACATACGCACGATGTATCCAGAGCAGGTCAAAGTGTGTCACATCTGTCACAACATTGTTTTTCAGGTAAGCGTTTAATCAGTTTACTGATACATTACAATTGTGAACAGAACATGAAATCACTCATGAATAAATTGCATAAATATTTATAAATAATTATTGATTACATTTATTTGTAATTCTTTAAAGCTGATTTGAATGCAGTATAAAAACACACAATTTATTTCATCAAGCTACTGCATAAAAAAAAAACGTGCACTAACATGTTATGTTTTTGTTGTTGTCATGTAATATTGACTTTTGGATTACAATCATTTTGTCACGTTTTGCTTTCAGTGCCAAACTTGTGAAAATCCTGTTTGTGGAGTAAAAATTCACTTCCCCTGTGTGGCCAAATACTTTAGAGGAAGGTCAGTGCGCCGCTGTCCGGCTTGTGATGACGCCTGGGAACATGAAGTACCTGGTACAGTATTTTATTTATTTTTATCTAGTACCTCTGTGCTAAAAGTTTACATGACACTGAAATGTTAACATACTTTTGACTTTTATACCAACGAAAAATATTACAATTATGATAAGTATTAGACACTTATTCACATGCTCTGTGTGTTTCCTTCACAGAAATGAAACGAAGGTCAAGGTCTCAGTCCAGGAGATGAAAGAATCCCACTTTAAATGTTTCTATTTGTCTCTTTTTTTAAACAAAATAAATATATATTTTGCATCAAAACAGTGAGTTTGTGAGTGAGTCTGTTGTTGCACATTATTTGACTAAATTAAAAAGAAACATTTTTACAAAGGTATCACCAAAGTGTAAAGATCAGCAGAAAACATTAATTCCAATAATGCATTTTTTGGGGGGTTAAAATGATGATAGTAAAGACACGCATTATGACACAGGGAACAGTGGTTGCATTATGACTAATGACTATAACCTTAAGCACTTAAATCGGATCCTGCAATTACAATGCAGAGTCATTGGACTGAAGGTGAACTGCTTTAAAGAACACTTATGTGGGAGGAGTCTTTTTCCAGTATCTTTAGCGTGATTATAAACTTTATGGATTTTCTAAACCAGGGATAGAAGAAGGCATATATGATGGGGTTCATACAGGAGTTTAGGTAAAGCAGCCAGGACACGATGGGCCAGGCAAGAGCACTGTTTGTTGTCTCCTGTCCTGCAAGAGAAGGGTAGTAATACGGACAGAAGGTCATCAGAAACATCATTATGACCACGCCCAGGGTCCTGGCTGCTTTCCTCTCCGACTTCTTAGCGGTGACTTTTACTGACACACCTGCAGCTGCTGCGATGTGTGTGTGTGTGGCTCGAGCCTGAGACACAGCCACAACAAACACTCTCATGTACAGAACCACAATGACGGAGCACGGGCCAATGAAAGTGAACACCAAGTCTACGGCTCCAGAGACGTAGCTAATCACCACCACACACTCACCATAACAGGACCTGTATCTGTTTGGCTGCTGGAGATGGTCCTTCAGTATCAAACCGTTATAGAGAACGGAGAAGGCCCAGCACAGACACACTGTCACCTCCACTCTGCTGCGAGTAATCCTCCTGGAGTACTGCAGAGGGTAACAGATGGCTACATAACGATCGACAGATATGAGAACCATGTTCCCCACAGATGCTGAGGTGAGAGTGAAGCCTACAATGTAAGACAAAGCACACATGAGCTCACCCATGATCCAGCAGGGCTCTGTGATTCTAACTGTTTCCACCGGCATCACCAGCAGCCCCACCAGAAGGTCTGCTATGGCCAGGGAGAGCAAGAGCAGGTTGGTGGGAGTGTGGAGCTGTTTAAAGTGGGAGATAGAGAGGACAACCAGCAGGTTCAGAGCTACAGTGAGCACAGCCAGAAATGACAGCAGTGTGTAGAGGAGGACGGCCTTAGAGCCAGAATCTGCTGATACCCTGCAGGACAAATTCAGCAGCTGAGGGTAGCACAGCTTAGTGGCCGCCACACTGTCCATCATCAGCTTCTGAGGAGAAGTGAGTGTCTCGACAGACTTCTGATGCTAGAGTGCAGATCATTTATCCATCTGGTCACTCCCTGCTCCTCATCAACTCCTCCTCATCACTGGGGTTTGTTTACCCTCATATCCCCTCATCTCCAGTTTTTCCACCTTCCCTCCTCCCTCTTTTTTTTCCATACTCCTAATGATGCAACATGTTGGCTCATCAAACTCGTGGAAAAAGTTTGTTCTCCACTTAACATCAAAGTTAACAGACAAACAAACTTTCACTTTAGAAAGTTAATTTATTCATAATTTATGGCTTTATGCTTTATAGGGTCAAAGGTGAGCTGAAGTCTGGACTGTTGACCAACTGTTCACACATTAATACCTGGCAGTGTCCAGTTAAACCAGTCCTGCATGTTTTTGGACTGTGGGGGGGAAACTCAATTTGAAACTCATATTTTTCAAGCTCTTCTCAGCCATGTCCTATATTTTACATTAGAAAACTCCTACAGTGCACCAACAAAAAGGCCCAAATGTATTTGTAATAAGATATAATGATCTTTGAATTTCAATTTACTCACAATTTACTTAGTGTGAAGCCTGAGCCTGTTTAGTTGAACACGAGCCTGACACACTCACAGGAATTCCAAAAAGAGTGTACTTAATTGTTCAGTGCATCACTATTGCAGTAAAAAGACTAATTATAATAACATCAATGTTTTCCTTGTTGAAATTTATCAAAAAATTGTGATAACATTATTATTATGTTGGTATGTGACGTAGCAAACAAAGAAGCTGTAGATGAGACAGAAACAGTGTCCAGTCTGTGGTGTAGAAGTTTTGCCAGAAGAAGGGTTTCTCAGTCTTAAGAAATTCACCACTAACTGACATATTACTATGCAAAATATCTGCTGCCAAACTGACCTCAAAAGCTGCACAACGACTAAAATCAGGTGTAGGCAAATGGTATCTTAGGTTAATAATATTAACTTCTTAAAAAAAAAGCTTAAAGATCTTCCTCGTATTGTGATCAACACACGTAAACCTGACACACTGTTAATTGTTTTGAGCTTAAAATTTCAACAATGGTTTTCACCCTGCTGAGGGAATAAATCCTTATTTTATATCTAAAAGAAAACTTTGGTTTTGGATATAAAAAAAATATTCCTCAATCCAATGTGTCTCCATGGAGTTTTTGTTTGTTTAGTAAGGATTTGCTAGGTTGCATCATGTATTCAAGAGGGAAAATATGTGTTAACACAGTTCACTAAAAAAATCCCAGTGGTGGTTTGACTTGTTGAAGTAATTACCAGTGGATAGGATTCTCTTCAAACAAGAAAACAATGTAATAATCCTGCCTGGAAAATAAACTTCTGTGCTTTTAAACTAGTACATGCAGAAATAAAGACAGGTGAAGAAACAGGACGTTATTTGATCTGTAAACGAACCAAAGAGCATAAGTTTAAGACAGTACTATGGGTTAGTGACTCGCAACCACTGTGCTGTGGCACACTGCCGTGACATGACCAATCATTAGGTGTGCCATAGAAAATAATGCAATCAATCATTTAAATACTGCAAATAATTTTTATTTGCTTGTCTACGCAACGGTAACAAGCAGAATATTTATATACTCTTCCAATAAGTGGCACCAGATGATATCAAACTAACAAAAGGAATCTTTGAGTGTCTTTTTTCAACTCAAATCAGCACAGTGTTCAACTAAACAAGACAGGTTTAAATGCAGAGTAATTAAAGTATGGAAAATTTCATAGAAGAAAATTGTTTAATTTCACCTTTTGAAAAGAAGAAAATTGTTTAATTTCACCTTTTGCTCATGGTGGGCCTTCCTACTCTAAAGTATCTGTTAAAATATCTGCCTTTAGAAAACTGGTTTGTTATTAGTACAACTGTCATACCAGTTGCACTAATAACAAACTATAAACTCCTCTAAATCCTTATTTATTTAGAAAAAAATAACCATTTACTGCAAAGATTCCAACACAGACCAAATTTATTGATATTTACTACTTTCTGGATTATAATTTACACTGTGAAACCAAAGAGTACTTTGTAAGACAACTGATAGGGTTGTTTTTATATGTCCATGCTTGTTCAAAGGGTTGTTAGAAAGTACCTTCAACAATCCAGATTTACTCAAATGCTTTATTAACTCTAACAAATTAAATAACATATAATACAAGGTGTTGTTGATTACAATCACACCGACTATTGACAATTTAATACAGTATCCAATGTCATGGGTTTCACTGCAGCATGTTCCTAATACTTTTCAACCTATCCCCAGGCTTTAGAGGCTCCGCAAACAGTTCAAATAGAATGTGTGAAAACAGTCAAGTTTTCACTGCGACGTCTGGCCTCCAGTGTGTTACACGCAGGAAAATAAATATAAGGGTTGTAAATGTCTGAGTAGATGTTTATCTAAACCATCTACTTGATGAACTGTGCAACTGACTTCCCTTCTAAGCAAAAACAAGCCAAAGGTTAAACTGTTCTGTGTAGTGTTGCTTTTTCTAGCTTGTTCGTTAACAAAAATAGGAAATCTAATAATTAAAAACTTCTATGTTAACTAGTTCATGTTTAACTTACAGTATGCAAATCAATACACTATAAACCAAGTATTGCCTTAAGACCTATATAAGCAATTCATCTGTGCAAAACACACCAGCATCAAGAATGCTTCCACCAAACTGCCAAAGGGGCAAGTTTTCATTTTATGAGGCAACTTAAAACCGCTGTCCCATCCTTGTTTTATTTTGTTGGCAAAATCAAAAAATGTCCGGTTACAAATTACAGTAGACTGAAAACAATAGTGCTGACATCTGGGGATGTCTGGAATAACCTACAGATGAAGAAGGTACTTTAATAAGTTGGACATCATTCCTAGTTTATGTCCAGCAGGAAGCAAATAGGAAAGGAAATAATCCAGGACTTACCAGCGGAAAGGAAATACAGGCAGCAGCTTTAGCATGACTAAGAATACTGTCTGTCACAATCCTTCACATCACCAACCACTCTGATCACTCAACATGACACCAATCCTAATCACATAGAAATATCTTCAATTTCAAAATCAAAGATAAGTCACACTGGACTGACAAGATGTGAAAGAATATTCAAAATCAAATGTCAGGGATGTTCCATTCCATGCGTCTTTGCAACTTACACAGGCCACAACAGGAAGTGGCATTAACTATGTGTTTACCCTAGGGCTCGAAGCCAGGACCTTCTTCGACAGAAGTGTAAGGCAGGCCTGATCGCCGCTTCACTATGAAACCACCATATAAGACCTTGTATTGGCCAGAAATCAAACACAGCCCTCTCATTTGCAGACAAGAATTCTACCACTGAACCACCAATGCTTGTTTAAATAATAATAATAATAATAATAATAAACTCTTTTATTACAGTTCCTCTGATAGGTCAAGTCAATACATTCAATACATTGACACAGAGTGACCCTTCAACTTTGACTTGTATTGTTTTGTGTTGTCCATTTCTGACACCTACAGGTGAGGGTCCGTCACTGAAACTATACTCTCTCATGTCAACACAAACAAACGCATCATAATCATTGTTTCAATGTTAATTTAAGAACAATTATATCATCTGAGATGTTTTCAAATTACAGCCATGTATGTCACTGTCATAAAGGCTGGTGACTTCTGATTTAAACTAACTAACTTACAAGTAACTGGATCATAACTTGGTACAGTCAGACCCTCCATCGTACACAGACCATGTGTTAGAAGTGGATTGGAACATCCCTAAAGAATGTTTCAGTTACTTTTCCTGTTTTGGCCTCCAGTAGTGACTCTGTAGCTTCCTTTCTTAAAAAAAAAAAACTACAGTTGCCATTTTTCCTCCAAGTGTCCCTCGTCGACTCAGTGTGCTTATCGTCCTGTAGGATCTCCGTCTCCTGTCACTTGGCAGCAGATGGTTGAGAAAACACCAGCCCTGAGGATGGACAGAGTGCAGACGTTTGTCAATCATGTGCTCATTTAACTCTGGGATTTAAATGTGTTCAAATGTTCACTCATATTTAGATGTACAACCTGCAGGCCAGGCAGAAACAGTATATGATCAGAAAGGATTAGAGCAGGCGGGTTGTGTTATCTCTTTGAAGAACCAAAAACAGGTGGTCAGATTACATTAAAGTGACTGGGAGTTTGAGCTCCCAGGATGAGAAGTTCTGCCCATCTTGACTGTCTTTGTCTTACGTGACCTTTAATCAAATGTGTGTGTTTGCTATTGATAACACTCTCCTCACTCATTTCATGTTGCTTACATTTTATACACACAGATGTAAATGAATGTGAACACTGCACACTCAGTCATACAATATGAAAGTACACGCACAAACAGCTTGCTCTTGCCCTCACTCTTGCACATGATTTTAGGACACCACGTGATATCTTCCTCTATTGCATTAATTGTGACCAGAGTGTGACACTGGAGGACTGCAGCACTGAGCTGCAGGTTGGGGGAGAGTGGGGAAATGCTATAAATATAGGCAAAAATATTTGTTATCAATTGCAATGAAAGAAATAAAAATCCGATCATTTATGGCGCGACCATTATTGGCCTAAACAGCAGCATCAGTTACTCTAGATATGCATTGAAAGTGTCAAATCCTACTGTCTCTTCAATCCACAGTGATGACTTCAGACCTGTACGGTGCTCATTTCACCACTTACAGGATTCTATGTTTCCCTTTTGTTTTATAGTTGACATTTTTAATTGTACGACAATTACCCTGTGTTCTAGTGGCTGCTGGGAAACTGTCCGTGTATGTTGATAGGCTGTTGCAGCTTCTCTTCTTTGGCCCTTCTGCTGTGGCAAAGCTGCAGAATAAGACAAGAGAAACAAAGTTGTGAAAACGTCGTCCTGGAAAAACACTACAGCACCTGACCTCAGACACCGTACCGTCCTCTTCTCCATGAAATTTGTCAGAAATTCATCTATGTCAGTTCGCCCCTCTAGGAAGTTTTTCGCCGTCTCTTCTGACTCCTCCTCCGCTTGGTGGGCTGCAACTTTTAACCGAGCCTGTAGGGTACTAAGACTGCAACTCTACAAAAAGAGCAGAAGAAAGAAAACATGATACCAGCCTACTGTAAGTGGTTGAACATAAACAATCAATATTTGATTTTCATCAATATATATATATAAACACACCTACTGTACATTTACATACATCTATATATATATATATATATATATATATATATATATTCATGTTGTCTCTGCATCTTCATCTCAAATGCTGATTTCATCTGTGTCAACTGTTCAAACTGTCAACACAGGAAACAGAGCTTCACATCAGTGAACTGAAAAAAAATGGGTTTGATACATTTGTGTTACAACATGAGATGACAACAACAACCTTGTACAGCATTTCCTGTCTTTTCCCCTCCAACTGTGGCTCCATCTGCAGGTTTTTCTCTGTCAAAGACAAACGATCAGATACAGTTCTGTGTGACGTTCACCTTCTACTAGCATTCACTTTTGTGAGTAGATTGTCTGTTGGTGGAGGAACTCACTGGCTATGTCCACTATGTTGCTGACCAGCTCCTCTTTATCATTTATAACCTGCTTGAGCTGCGGCAAACTCAAAAAGAACTTCAGCAGCACGTCTTCATCTTCAGACATATCTGACAGCTGGGTCAGACTGGGGTAACAAACAAATGGGACAAACAATGGAATTAATGGAATAAGAAGAGCAGCAGTAATACAAGAACAACAACTATATTTTTAGAATACTGTACTTCATGTCACATAGTTCAGAAAATGTCTCTGGAATTTCTGGCATCTTATACATATGTCCATTTAGTCCAGCCTGTAAGAGACAAGACAACACAGTATGATTTTTTATTGCTTTAAAATCAACTCTGGTTTGTCAGCACAATGGATTCAGTTACAGAGCAGTACACCAGTGTCTATAGCACCCCTAGTGGGGTACACTTTAGACTTTGTATAAATTCAGAGTATAATAACTTACTATATATACAGTAAACGTTAACACACCAGTAGTTTAACTCTTATCTCTTTTCGTATATGAACAGTCTACAACCATACACGAGTGTGTGCTATGTTTCTATTTACCTGTGACTCTCCAGTAGGTACAGGCAGTGGCAGATCAGAGATCAGTCCATATGGAGTTGGAACACGAGGAATTGCATGGACAGAATCCATGCCTGGGTGAGGCATTGGGGTCGAACCTGCACCCAGATTGGGAGGTGGTGTCTGAGTGGGTCCTACATGACGGGCACTATAGTGGAACGCCTGAGGTGGGTAAGGAGCCATGCCTGACGACTTGAACATACTGCTGCAATACATGTGATGTAGGTTAAAACCAACACACTTTAAGATAACAAGTGTATGAAAATACTTTTAGAAAATATCATGTAAAAATAAACATGTATCTGGTAAAACCAGCTACACGTTTATTTTTAATGCAGTTGTTATGTTGCTTTTGTTGTTATTTTGATGAGCAAACAAAACTCACGTAAATACATGTGAATATACTGAATATTGTCTGTAAAAGCTTAAACTCACTATGGAAAGCCAGGAGCACCAGTAGACATCAGGGCAGGTGGACTCTCCCAGAACTCATCCAGCACACTCTGAACAACTTTGCCAAGGTCTGAGTGCATACCAAACTACAACATAGAGCACTATTACAACAAGGTTCCTTGGATTAGACACTGCAGGAGTTACTAAATTCTAATTATGATGCTGCAAACCCATCAAAACCGGTGGAGTGTGCATCGTTAACCATTATTAAATGGAACCAAATCTGTAACATTTAAAAGTAAATATCATAATGCCTCATTTTCTTCTAGTATTTCATCAGCTGTTTTTCTGTTCACATGTCATAATTTCATCAAAGAAATATGTACCATATATCCTAGTTTAATAAAAATAAATAAATAAAATGATTGGTAGAGAAAAATGTTTTCTTAAATTAAATTCAAGATTTTATCATTTATCAAATAATCTATCCAGCAGACCAGTGATTATCAGAACAATCTTTGCTTTCAGTCCTAATGATAACTAGATGTCTATACAAGCTGCTTTTCAATATGGGTCAAAAAACATCTTATATTTTCCTCAACATTGTCGATAAATATATTTTAATCAACTATTTAAGAAAATCTAAACTTTCCAAGAAGAAATTGAAAAGCCTCAACTTACATTCGTGATAAGTGGACTAGTGATCATGGTTCCATTATTGCTGTCTACTAGATGATGTCCAACCGGAGGGTAAACACTAACCATTGGCTTCTCTTGAGGAAACTGAGGAGGTAGAAGACTGCAAAAGAGAGACGGAGGAAGGAAATATAGAAGGAAGAAAGGATAAAAAAAGAGGAACACAGAAACACTGAGTTTATCTACTCCTTGAATGAGTGGTCAGTATTGTATGTATTACTAATGATGCAATGATCACCCTGTATGTTTATTCAGCTTAGGATTTAGGAGTCACTTGAAAGTGGGCCTTCAATTACCACAAATAAACAAACAAATTATCAAGATTACATTCAATCAAGACTATCACCTGTTTGCACCTCATCCATTCTCAAATAAAACATAGTACTGGTGGAGTGTGTAAAAGGAGAAGTTTACCACCAGAGCAAGGGAATATTAAACACATTATTCACATGAGTTCCCACTGTTTGTGCCTGAGTGTAGAATTCTTTGTGATTTGATATTTCACATTGAACTGCCTATATAGAATTTAGAGAATATTTACAAAACCCCCATCAGACAGACAGATTGTCAGGCAGTAAAGTCATACTTACACGTTGACACTAATGGTGGAGTTGTTGACTGTGAATGGTATTCTGTATTCCACATCCTTTTGGATCTCAGCAAGGCTGTAGTTAAAAAGGAACACAGGAAATGTCATGTGCCATCACTACAATATGAAGGAAAACAATGAACATCCTCAACAACTTCGGTGAGAACTCTTGTTTGATGAGTGGGGAGAAAAGTGAAAAATGAAAGGTAAACAGCAAAACCTGCTTACAAATATTGACATTGCTTTAAGGTCAAAACAGAATTAATAAAAATACCCCTTTTAAATACTCACAACACGTAACCTTCACTAACAGTGTCCCGTTTCTCTAATTTATTTTAATACAATTATTTATGCTTTGTTGTATGTGTTATGAACATGTATTCGCTGTGGTGTGCAGTAAAGTTTCAGTTAGACTAAATCAACTACACCCGTTAACTACTCCCAACAGTGGGACGGTCACAGGACAGAACATCCACGATTTGTTTCATCCGCTCTAAAAATAGAAAATGTGACCGTCACTTGCTGACTTGATTAGCTCACCCTGGGATACACAACCCTGACAGTCTGATCTACCAGGAAATAGTTTGCTCTAATCAGCGCTGATGTAAACATTAGCTTGTTGGCTCAAAAAATGTAAAACAATATTAGTCGATGTTTACGAATAACAAGGACAGTAAACTATTTGATAGCCTCGTATGTCTTCTGTGACACTAATGGCTAGCTGAGTAAACAACAGCTAACGAGTTGACGTGCTCAGCCTATCACTTGAATAGAACACTATGTGCTGGCTAAAATTTGCATTAATATGAAACCACATGTCGACGAGCTCATGTTTAACACCGGTCTATCGCTTTAGGTGTCGTGAATTACCTGGGGTGAGCTGCTTTAAGTGACTCAATCTGCCGCTGTCTCTGTTGCTGTAGGCTGTTGAGTTGGGGGAGAGCTCCGGAGCCTTTGGACAGAGGAAAAAGCCAGTTCATTCTGTCCCGTTGGACAACCAACCACTATAACCGATGACAGAAGTTTCGGGCCAAAAACCAACAAACAAAAGAATGGAAGCGAAAGTGAACATGAAGAACGCACGGACGAAGACTTATGTAGGGCTAACCCGTTAGCCGGCTAACCAACGAAACAGCTTGCTGTCCACGCGGATTCTTTTGTACTCAGGTTACAAAGTCAGATATCAATTCCCCATGTGTTGACAAAAATGTGAACATGGCGCACTGCCATTAACAACGGTAAAATTGGGTGATAATTACAGCTACAGGAAGAAAACAACGGAGAGACACTGATCAACTTATTTACGTCATACGTAACGCACCAAGTATACGTCAGAACGACTTCCTTCTTCCCTGCGTTTAAAGACGACGCGTCGCTGGTACACTGCTGCCACCAAGCGGGACTCCTGAGCAGGCCAACTGCTACAACGGAGTATTTTGGCTACATTACTGAACAAATTAACCAACATAAAATTACAAGATCAAAGTGGTAACGTAAGTAAGTAGTAAGTTTATAAGAACTTGTAACGTTACGACAATAAAGTCATATATTTGTGAGTAAAGTTATTAATGTACGACATTAAAGATGTCTTTAGAATGTGTTTTTCGCTGTTTTCCCACATCAGTAGAAGAGATTCATGGATATAGCTAAAGAGGACATGGTGATGGTACTCGTAACAGTAGAGGCAAAGGATGGGACAGATGGTGACCCCTGGAGTGAGCAGCCTAACGTACAGTTAAAATGCCATTACAATGAATACACTTTAAATCCCAGTAAACAGACTACACATATGTAACAGAGAGTGACGCAAGTGGAAAACTAAAGCTGTAGAGAGTACAGGTAGTTAGGATGGATGTGACACTGCACAAAAAAGCAACAAATTGAAATAAAGGTATACTTGCTCGTTCCTAAAAAGATGATAACGACCAACCACCACCCCTGGACCTAGATATCTCAACACATTTACATAACAGAATAATTGACAGCAGACCTAACACAACTGTTTGTAGAGAAGTGGAACTCTGTTGCATGAATCAAATGACTCAGAAATTACAATATTGATTAGTAACACATCCTGGTGAACCACTATGAACACATGCTCTTTCTCTCTGCTTCATTGAGAAGTGGAGAACAGTCATCAATGACAAAGAGTCCATGAACACATCATTTCTCTCTGTCTATTTCCTGCTCAGAAGAGAATGTCCCAACTCATCATCATGGTTAGTGAGACCACACTCTTTAGAAACACATTTCCACAATAAGAAACTATAGAAATGATCCCTGAAAGTATAGTCTTGATGATTGACTGAGTGAAGACAAGATCCCATGTTAATGACTGTCCTTCTGACTGAGAGGTTTCTTCAACAGTCACACGCCACCACCAGGACATGAATGGTGATACAACAAACAGGACAGAACTAAATCATATTAGTCACTTATTTAGCTATGCAAAATGCTAAAGCTAACTCGTGTTGCTAATCAACAATACTGAAATATTTTACATAATTAGTTACTTCCACAGTGTTGTTGACAGTGAAGTAGTAATGATCTTAAAACGCCTGATGGTTTCAGAGACATTTTGATCAAAACATTGGCTAAAAAGTAAAAGTTGAAAAGTAAAGAAAAACACCTCTTGGAGACATTGTTTATTACAGTGGTTTAAAATAATCCAACATAGGCATTTATTTCTGGACATGTCTCAGATGCAGCCAGGACTATCATGTACAAAACTGTCATGACAGTAAGTAGAAGAATCACCTTGTCATTGTGCATACACAGACACAACTCTCCGATAACAAGTGCGAGCTCTTACCACTAGACCACGGGCTGACCCAAGTGAGGAAAAATACTTTAGACATCAACAAAATCTCATTGCTCGTCCTGGTGGAAAAAAAACCCTATAATTAAACGTCCGTTCAAAAGATCAAATTAAATACATTTTATTTAGCCGATTTTATCTTTCTGCAGTCTGGAAATGCAATCAGTTCATCAGATTCAATCACCACCATCACAAAACATGGTTTCATTTAAATAAGATGAACATGTTGAAACAATAGATAATAAATCTGATATGTAATTGATCATATCAGTCATACACAATTTATATGTACACGTGGATATATATTTTTTATATATGTATGTATATATATGACAGAAAGAAAGTGAAAAACATATATATAAAGAGTGACAGAGAGAGAGAGAGAGAGAGAGAGAAATTATTTGGTATAACTTAAAAATTGCTACAACGACTGCATTGTCATACACGTATTCTCACTGAACAGTAATTTTGCTACGTAATAAAAAAAACTGCACGCGACATATATGACAAACATGACAAAATGTGTTTCGTTTTTACAAAGCATCATTCAGTTAGAGGGTGGAGTCATGCTTGCAGATGTATTCACTGCTCTGGTGCGCTGTTCCTCCTTAGTTTTCTGTCAGAGGCAGCAAATGTGTCCTTCGGCCTCAAAATGAAAACAGACGGAGAAGGAGGCTGCGTCCAGGCCCTTTACCTTGTGCAAAAAACAACAGAAACAGGTAAAGTTAGGGTTTATGATCAAAAGCAAGTAACATCACTGAGTGATTCCTAAAATTCAACCTCGTTATTACTCTGTTGTGGTGTTTACTTTTTGGGGTCTAATGGTTGAAATCAATATTTATTAAATAATCATACAAACAAACAAACAAAGATGAGGAAGAACTTTGTTTTGTTGTGACTCTGATACTTATCTGCTCGCCAGTTCCTTTTTTAGACAAGATCTGAAAGAGGTAGATCGTGCCATTGTTTTATACCCCTGGAAGATCGGTTGGTGGACATGCGGAATAGGAAGAAGAACAGATATTAAACATCACATTTGAATACAGCGCAGAAGGGAAAACGGGTAAGAATGTATAATTACATGGTCGTAAGCCAGTACTGCGCCATTGATAATGAGTTACAAACCACATCTTGTTTTTACTGTTTAGTTTGCGTTCAAATCTGTAATTTATCAAATACACCACTAGAGGGAACTATTTGCCCTGCAGTACAGAAACTGCTTTAGACAGTACACTTAATGTTTATTGGCATTTTGATATACTGTATGTACATTTGTGTTTTCAGACTGTGTGTTTATGGGAGCTCACCCTTGCTCCCCTGTGCAGTCGGTCCTTCATGATGCCGATAAACTCCTTGTAGGAGAGCTGATCATCATGATCAACATCAAAAATCTTAAAGATTGTGTTCACAAGGTGGCGAGTCAGCTTAAGGCCAGTGGCTACATAAGCAGCTCTTGCAAATTCATCTGGTAAAATGAGGAAAAACACTGAGAATATGTTGATTTCAGGAATGAATGAAAAACTCTTTATCCATTATTTCTCACATACCTTGTCCGATAGATCGAGCAGCAAAATTATACATCTGCATGGCAATCGCAAAGTCCTCAAGGTTGTTGAGAAACTGGAAGAAGGATCTGAACTCATCAAAGGTAATTCCCTGAAGAAAAAACATGTAGCCATGTAACTTCATGCTAGGATTAGACCTGTTTTATTTTGTTTGTTTAACTAATCGCTAATAACCATTTTTTTAAGTGAAAGACACCCAGATACAGAGACAGGATTCAGTCGCATTGAGTCAAAATACAATAGTTGCATGTTATATTATATAATGTTATATTGCATAATCATTTTAATGCAAATATCTAAATACAATACTTTTATTTAACATTAAATTTTACGTTTAATTCCGTCATAAATCCGACATCTTAAGTTATTTCAAACAAACATATTGCTTCAGCACAGAGAGTATGCAAATGAGTCCAAACCAACAGCCAATCAGATAGCTTGACTCAAAGTACGCCACTTCCTGTATTAAATAAGAATACGTTATTTTTTTTCAGGGGTCCTTGTGTGTGTTATACAAATGGATGTTTTGTATTTTAAAAATTAAATTTGAAAATATATGTTAACAGCGATAAACCTATGTCAACTTTACATGTTATATATCAGGCAAACACGGCGTGACCTGATAACACATTTTTTGTACCTTTTCATCTGGTATGGAGTGCTTGACATTCTCCAAGTAGGAGTTGATGTTGTCCACGTTGGTGAAGCGGAGTAAGATTTTAGCAAAGTCTTCTTCACTGATAGTAGTCATTCCTTTAGAGTAGGTCAAAAATTCAATTTCTAACATCTCGGTCTGCAGGTTGTCCATAAATCTAGGGATTATTAAAAGGTGAAAAGAGATGAAGTAAACTTATCCATGAGATGGAGGATGTTTCTTTCTAAAATCCACATGACACTTTCCATACCTGTAGTAATCGACAAAGGTGAGCTCAGCCTTTCCCTTCTTGCCAAAGAAATGAACCAGCAGGGTGGTGTCAATTGTCACCGTCTCATCTGTTCGCTAAGAAACATCAGAGTAGGAACAACAGAGGACTGATAAGTGCAAATAGATAATTTGGTAGGAAGGCAAACAATAGTCATGATCCTTAACCAATCCAAGATTATGCCCAAGTTGCCAGGTCGTCAGGAAGCAAGTTTCTGCTGCATGTGTGCAGAATGGCGGCAGGTGTGCAACAACGACGCTTTCAATCAGATGTCAGTTCCAGTAAAATGCTGTTTGTGCATAAAACTCAAAATGTTATGAATGAGCCAGAATTTCACTGTGCAGCTTAGACCGGTGGGAAAGAGACTAGATAGTAGCACAGCATAATGACACAAAGACAAGTCTTGCCCTCAGCCAGAAAGGTGCCAAGGGATGCTGAAGTAAAAGACAGAGGTCCCCATAGGTCAGCTAATCTGACACTTTTGACATGGTTTGAAGGATACATTCCTAAAAATATTTCACAGAATAAAACAATTTACAGTGTAAAACCGTGGCCGAATATACAGTACTAGGGTCGGCAGACATATATGTTTATTTCTAATAAATAGTCTGGATGACTGAGAATCTTCATAGACATTTCTAATGTTGTATTATGTATCCTTTATTACACCTTATACTTCGAAGAGTGGACCAAAATGGTGTCTTTCGTAACAGTGACCTGTGGCACTTAATTCTTGGGGATCTCTGGTGTAGGCAGAAGAAGGAAGGGAGAGGTAATAATGACAGAGAAACTTAACACGCAGCTCACAAACATGCACAAAACAATGAAGCCACCAAGACTCATGCATTTCTTTAAGCCAATGCCAGACAGAAAGTAAAACAAAACCCGCAGTAGCACAGGTGCAAAGATATGAAGCCATTTTCACCTTTTTCCATTAACTAATGACAATCAAATTTGAAAGTTGGAGTGGTAAATTATAGTTACTTCAAGTTAGCACCAACACTTCATTGACCGAAAGAATCTCTTGTTTTATTTGCTAAGAGAACTTGCTAACAGAAAAAAGGTAAGTGTGACTATGTATTTCACGTAAGAGTCAGCCAGCGCTCCCGCTACAATGCTCTCCCACCCGCTGCCCCGTCCGTGGCCATGCTTAGGAATATGCAGACATCAGATTACAAGAAATCTCATGTCCATATCAGGGAAGAAGCATTTATGCGAATTCCATTGTCATCTGTATAATGTTTTATCTTTTCCACAATGCCATTCAGGGTTCTACCTCGAGGGTAAAGTCCTAAAATCCAGTGTGGGGTAAGAAGAAAATGTCAAACAGGACAACACACGTTTACAAAAGAAAAGGAAGGTGTTGAACGCAAGCCTCTGGTACTAGAATAAGAGTCAGTTCTGTGGAACAAAGCGATCAAGGGTGAAACAAACTGAAAACAACTGAATCAAACTTTGAATATTAACAGATATGTGTAATAAAAGGTAACATAAATCATAATAAAAGGCGTATAAAACACTTTTTAAGATACTATCTACTTTTGTGATACTTTTTTGTGATTGAAAGCTGTACTTAACTTTTTATCATGGTAGAAAATTGTTTGTTGGGTGTGGGTTACAACAGAAACAGAGTTTCTACTAGTACTCTGTTTAATGAGATCCACCTTAAGTGATTCATGCTGATAATGTTAATCTACAGGACAAAAATGTCCTGCTGTTATTCCAGTGACTTCAGCGTGACTTCAAGATTCTGTTTGTTTTTGAAACACATTATCGTCTGGTATTTGAACTCCTTGATTAGACACGTACTAATGTTGGACTTCCTTCAGATAATACATGTGATTTTGGTGTCTTGTTTTCGCTGTCTCGCCCATCTGAGGGTCTTTTAATTAAGTGCGTGATTACGGACAAACAGAACAAACCACTTTCATCTCTGAGGTGACTCAACACTTATGCCTTTGTGACACATGAGCTGTTCATAACACCGAGACAGCGTCCAGGTGGTGTTTTTTCTGCCTCTCACTGCTTCACTGTGTGATGCCTCTCTGTCTGCCTTAAAATCAAATCGCCTTCACTACAACATTGTTAGTTTTGTAATGTTATTATAATTTAAAAATTTTAATGTGACTGCAGTTGGTTGCGAAACCATAAATTCAGCGTCAACTTTTACCGAAACATTTCAGTGACTCAACTACAGCTCGGTTTTGTTTTAACATATTTTATAGGAATCTAATTTGTGGGGACGGTACATTTACTAAATACGACTATACGTCATCATCAATGTATTATTATTATTATTATTATTGAATAAAAACAAATAGTGCAAAGTCAAGTGAGTATTTTCTCTCCCATCTTGGGAGTACCTTTACATTCTTAGCTTTTGATGGTCTTTGTTTCCCAAAGACTGGGTCACAACCTTGAGGTGGGTCGCAAGAGACTTTTTTTTGGGTCATCAAACATCATGTTTCCCAGGAGTTTACGAATAATGTCTATTGACTTGGGTCGCAAAGGTTTGTGACCCAGAAAAAAAAAGTTTAGAAAACACTGGTTTCGGGTTCTGCTGCTTTCAGATACTTCGACCAGCACAGACCCTGAAGAGTCCAGATCAGTTCTTACCAAGTTAGATCATGGTCATAACAATCTTATCATTCCTGGAAGTGCTGTGGCAGTGGTGAGCTCATTGTCAACATACAGACGTAATGGTTACCACACCCACAAGGCACGAGCCAACACCTGGTGCATGCATGTTTCTATTCGTCCATCTGTGTGTGTGTGTGTGTGTGTGGACTTTAAGTGCCTTTGATCATGTAGGGAAGAATCAGTCATGGCAGACGTAAACAGTTACAATCTTCCTGATCCTCTCTTGCTGTGACTAAAACTTCAGAGAAGCTCACTGTCAGGTCTCAGTGAAGTCAGTGGGTCAGTGCCTTCCTCAGCAGACAAACATCCAGGTGATTAGCTCTTCCCTCCCCTCCCTCCTTCTCTACCTGTCCATCAGTCTCCTCTTGTCCAGACAAAAGCAAGCAGGTATAATGGTGACTAATCTGTTCTGTAAACACATGCTCTTTGAATTCTTCTTCCCCGGCCTCTTCCACTCCAATCACACAAACACACAAACTAACTTTATCTCTTTGTTTCCACCTTTCATTACTTACTTAAATGCATCATTTTTTGTTGGTCTTCATTTATTGTTTCATTTATCTGAGGGTCTCCTCACCCCCTGCCGGTAATTCTAACTTCCCCACTCTCTGAGTTTTCCTTGTTTGTCAGTCTGACAGTCTGTCTGATGAAAGGATACTCGTCGTAAACACAAGGTCAGACCTATTTCACTCCACTGTCATTACCTCTGCTTTAGCTTCCGCTAACACCACAGGCTGTCATTAGTCAGCCAGCCGGCTGGAGTAATGATGGCTGTTAATGAACTTTTATCTGCACCATGATGTCCACCGAGCATAGTGGTGGCAGCACAAGAACACTGCAAAGATTAAATGAGCGCCATCAAGAGACTGGCGTTGGTATAACATTTGTTTTCCTTTTCTATGCCTATTATTAGTTCTTGATAAGAGGTTGTGGCGTCACATAAAAATTGTCTTTACACCAAGCACCACCAGCCACATGAACACACAGGTAACAGGCACAGATACACAAACAGAAGCATAATGAAAAGACTGAATGAGAGGCAGAGGTGTAAAACAGAACGGTTCATACTGTAAGAACAGATCCTGTATAAAAAGGTAACACCAGTACTGGTAAATTAAATTAAAGGTTTTATAATCTTTAAAAGACATCAACATACTAAAGGATAATTCTAACCAAGAAAAAATATATGAAATTGTAAATGAGGATGAAGAAAATATAGATGGTCAAAACGATTTGGATAAAAACCCCAAAATGGATCCTTTGAAGGTTCTTTAAGACAGTAGAGCGCTAACAGAAATCTAGAGAAACTACTCTAACTTGAAAGAAAGAACAAAGACATACATGGACAGAGGGCAGATGGAAATGTGTACCTCTGCCAGGTCAGAAAAGAGGACTTGACTTGCACCGCGCCTCAGAACGTCCCAGTAACTCCTTGACACAAACTCTTGACTGTCTTTTTTTAGCACCTGTAGAAGTGGTCAAGCAGGGCCATGATCAGTTCACCTACGGTTCAAAAAGGTCAACGTCATATTCCTACATTTGAAATATAGAGGGAATACGACGTTGACAAGCGTTTTTCAAACTGCAGACTTTGTTTTCACACTAAATTTGTAAATAAACAGCCGGTAGCTCTTACTGAGAGCATCAGAGGAGAGAGGGACACAGCACAATAGGTCTTAGACAAGACAAGGTCTCTGAGTCATATCATGTTAAGTCAAGTTATATTATTGTATTTAAGGACTATAAGTCGCTCAGCCAAAAAAAGCAAAATGAAGAAGAAAAAAAACATATATAAGTCACTGCAGATTATAAGCTCCAGTGCCCTCTAGCGGCTGTCAGTGTGAAAATATCGAAATTATATAATATACTATATAAGTCGCACCTGAGAAGTCACAAACCCAGCCAAAGCACAAAAAAAGTGTGACTTATAGTCCGGAAAATACGGTACTTTACATAACCTTTCATTATTATGTCATTTTGTAACTTAATGTTAAATTAACTTGTGTGATGGTGCCGTAACATTTTTTGGCAATGATTTTACACACAAAACCACAGCAGTGGGTCTCAGTAGGTCGTGCTATACTGTGAGACAATGACCTTTGACCTTAAGACTTCTAATAACTACAACAGCCTGACCAGGAATGGTACAGTAGCCTTAAATCCTTCTATTATACTGTAAATCAAACTGAGATTCACTGTTGTTGATTTTTTTTACTGGCTTCTAGTGTGAAATAGTCCAGGAGGTTTAAAAATAGAGCTATTTACACTGCCATTATCCAGATTGGGAAACAGTAGGGAATCAAGAGAGCCACAGCAGATTGCCAGAGTTTAAAAAAAAAACATGGAGTAGTGGCTTGTAGCTATAAGGTTACAAAAAGTAGGAAAATGTCTGGAGTTAATGTTGTGACGGTATAAATATCCAAATTGGATTTATTTGTAGAACTTTATGAAGTATTAATTGCTTTATTGAATGACTGAGGCCAACAATCCAGAAGTACAATAATGCTAAAACATATTTTCCTCAACTATATTTAAAATTCCCATTAAGAACAAAATCCACTATTCCTGTTAATTCCCACGAATATCTGTAAATTCCTATATTAAATGTCTCATATACCACTCAGGCACAACAAGATAAATAGCATCAACACTATTTTAAAACGTTTTTCACATCACAACATTTCCTGTGGTAATCTTCACTATCTGAACACACCATCTTTGGTTAGTCCTTAATTCATTCCTTCAACCTCTAAACACAGAGACAAACAGGGGTAATGGGTTTGGATACATACGCTGTTCATGGGGGCAACCTGATATCCATACAGCTGCATACTCTGACAGAGAGAGAGAGAGAGAGAGAGAGAGAGAGAGAGAGAGAGAGAGGAAAGAACACACCATGCAGCCACAGAGGAGGGAGGAAAAGAGAGGGCAGAAGACATGTTAGAACGTGCAAGGAAAGGGCTGTGGATACACTTTGCTCAGAGATGTGCTGTTTTCTACACATCTATAATCACATTTGGGAGCAAGACTGGGACCAAAACAACATTGATCCTGGTCTCTGGAACCTGCCTCTCTGCTCTCTCCATTTTCTTTTAACTTGGTTAGTAAACAGTCAACAGGACACAACGCACTCAAGTATTGGCAGAAACATGAGGCATTGAAAGACAGGTGATGCATTTTGGGAACTGACCATTGGACGGTCAACAGCTCAACAATAACACGATTATAAAACCTCTCACACCTCAGAGTCACTCTATTCTTAATTATAATATAACTGTTATTTCTAGAAGCGAGACAGTTATTATGTTATTTCCGTATATATTTACCCTTTACGAACCTCCCCCACAGCCAATCAGCATGAGGAACAGAAGAGCATGCTCAATTAGCCAATAGTACACCGAGTCTGCATTGTATTAGCCAATAGTATGCTGTGTTTGATCTCGCATAGGTAAACAAAGCTACCAGCAATCGTTTGCAAATGCGCTTATATGAATTTCAAAACAGGAATTCAGATTTTTAAAACCAAAACCTTTGTACATTTAGTTATATTACAATATCTTTTAGTTTATTTTTTGTTATATCGGATTAAAAAAAGGAGAACCGTGATATAGAATGAGAACACTGTATAACCGGTGGTAGTATTATAACTCTATAAGGTATAACTAAAGGTTTCAGTGTAAATTGTGTCTGTCGCCATCTAGTAGCATTAACTGAAAATGCAGTTGATGCATCACGATGCATTACTGTATGGTGTACCACACTGTAGTGGTCTTCATTTGTCCATGCCTGGTATAGAAATAGAAATGTATTGAAATAACATTAGAGACACATTTACATGGTTAACATTTACACCAGGGCATTTAATATTCAACATGTCGTTGACGACAACATAAATAAAGGCTCTTTTTTAACTGACTAACTCTCTGCTATTTCTATAAATAAATAAAATGTTGCAGCTGTATTCATTGATAATTTATACACGGAAAGACTCACCTGCAAGAACACACACACACACACACACACACACACACAGGTTCCTAATCTCTTACCAGCTGCGCTGACTTTTCAGCATCTCCTTTTCTTCCCTTCTTCTCATTTTTCTTCCGGAAGATCTCCTGAAGCTGAAATAAGAGGAACAAGAACGTTTTTTTATTGACAGTTCAAAGTCAGGGCTAAAGCCCTGTTTGAAGCCTAAATGCTCATACACACAAACAGTCACAAGGGGTCACAAGGTCAACCTCTTGTTAAGACTGTTTTTGTGACAAGTGAAACAAGTGCTGCACTTTGGTCCAGAAGTCACTTATGGTTCCATAGTGGAGCAGTTAGCAGAAAGTCCTGGGTTGAATTGCCAGAGGAACCACATATCCCTAATAGCGCCTCCTGTGTGGCAGCCTGTGAGTTGCAACCTTGTACCTCACAGTAATGACTAAAATACACCACACAAAAAAAAATTGGGTCAAATTCTGAAATGTTGATTGATCTTGACTCATCAATCATCATTACCATAGAGATCAACCATGATTAAATCGTCACCAATCCATAGCTAATTTATCCAATTGATATGAATCACATTTTAGCTATACATTATATTTCACACTCGGAATATAAAATGATTATTTATGTATGAAATATATATGAAGATTACAACACGGAAATTCAGCTTGGGTTTTCTCTCTGACTGAAGGACTCACCACCATGAACTCCCTCTTGTCCACCATCTGGTTGCCGTCTGCATCAAACATATTGAAAGCAATCTTGAAACCAGCGTGTGGCTCTGGAAGGACAGAAAGAAGAGCATGACAGGGTGAGTGTGTGCACGTGAGATAAAGGTGATCTGGAATACACCAGTAGAACAGGATGAAGCAAAACATCAAGACAAGACAGAACAGAGAATGATCAGTGGGAAGTTCTTATAGTAAAAACACAAATTAAGATTGTTTTCCACATTTACTGTAACCTGTGATGTACGGTGGAAAACTGGAGATGTAGCCATAGTTGTATTTGAAAGAGATTTTACCACAGAATATGATGTAATATTATTCTATTTTTAATATCATAAGCGAGAGCAGGGGGGCGAGGACTTACATTTTAGGAAAAACTGTGTTTATTTTAACATTTAACTAATTAGTAATTAACATTCGAAGTAAATTTGAACAAAATTGATTGGACTGACACACACGTAAACCCGACACTTGACTCACAAGTTGTAAAAGGTCTTAAAAGCTGCCTCGTTTCCTTTTTTGTCTTCCCTCTCTTACAGCCCGAGGGAAAGGGAAAATCCAGCAGTTGTACTTCATAATTGTGTCTTGTAAAGTTCTGGGTGGGCCCCGGTTTATTCCCTATCGGGCACTTCACCCAAGCTTACTTTGCTCCGTCACAGACGTAATCTAACAGAACTGGATCGACCTGGACTCACTTGTTAGGATGCAGAGCAGGAACAGGTACTCTGTGTAGGAGATGATCCCTGGAAAACACATCCAAACAGACAGGAGAGTTAGGAAATACACAGAAAAGGTTTACAGATGTTTCAAATCATTACACACACACGAACACACACACACTCATCCCTGTCATGAAGATAGCATCTTTTAAATGGCTCTTCCTCAGAGTGATGAGCCAACAGACACTGTCAGCCTCACACTGTGTCTTTTTTCTACAGAGATCAGCAAAGGTTTGGTTGGTGTTTGGAGAAGTGATTCCTTCTTCCCTCAGACCCTTTGTAGCTCCATCTATTCTCTCTCTCCTTCTCTGTCTCTTTTTGTCTGATGGCTCAGATAGTTCAGGGTGACTGTTTGAATGTTTGGGGTGACTTCTTTCCAATGTGTGTTTTTCTTTTGTGTGAACAGGAAACTGGTTAGACTAGTGTGTGAGCGGTGTTTCCTTCATGCCTGACTTCTTTGTGTAGATGTGGATTCTCTCACCCTGGTTTAAACAGCCCAGGACCAACTACTCTGACTGATTACTTCAGTGACGCTAACCTAGACCTTTGTATCTCAGATATCACTTCTGTTATAGTCTGTCAGTGAGGTTCTGTTCGCTGGACCAATCACAGGTATTGTAGTATGAACAAAAGCATTTGATCAGTAAGAAAAATGTGTGTGTAAATCCAACAAGTGTGCTGTTGTGTTAATATTCACAAAGGTTCTTAAAATATTCTGTGCCAAGGTTGAAATAACAAAACCTCGTCGTAACGTGATTCTTTGGGAATGACATCATTATTTCAGGATGAAGAAAAACCTGTGTTTTGGAGTCTTTGGTAATATTTTACAGACTTATCTACACTGTTATAGAGAGTCCTTGATTTACATCCGGGTTCGGTTCCTAGCGGTGATGTAACTTATTTTACTGTAGGTCAGAACTCACATACGATTACATATTACACACCACAAATATGTAGAAAAACTGAGCATTTTGGATGAGAGAATATTAGTTTTACATGGAGTTTGTATGTACATTTCCAACCAGACAAAACTAAAGTCTGATTTAGCAAACACTAAAAATACATCCACTGTTACTAAAGGTTGTTAAATGGTTAGACAAAAACAGTGGTAAAAAGAATACGTTTTCTCTGCGGGTCCAACCATGTCACCAACTGGCCTCTGACTCAGTCTTATAAAAGCCTGAATAGAAGTTGAACTCAGGTTTGTTGGTATTTGTTATGACTCATGATGTTTGAACAAAAAGAAGAGGAGTGTTGGTCTATATTTAGTTTTCTGGCAGGTTGTTCCACCAACCCCGGATAAACCACCTACAGTGACATATGCACACACACACACACACACACAGAAGCTCCAGGACCTATTAGTCACACATGAGCAACTAATAGTAGTACAGTACACACAGGGATTGGTACATAAAAATACCTCAAAGCTAAAAATATGTAGATCTCATCTTTATCACTGTCTTATAGATCCATGGATTGAATGTTATGAATGCATGTATATATTATGCATTTATTAGACAATTAAAATGCAAGTTGTTATTAATATGCATTTATTTTCAATTAGATTAAGACAATTAAAATGCAAGTTGTTATTAATTAGTGACTGTGTTCCTCTGTTAGTGTGTGTTTGAGCTGCAGTGACTGCACACTCTCTCTTTATTCCCTCTGACCTCGCTCTCTCAGGTTGCGAAACAGTTTGGACGATCCTCTCCATACTGGGGGTGTTTCAGCCAGGATCTTCTCCAGCTCCTGCCACACACACACACACACACACACACACACACACACACACACAAGACCAATGAAGAGACTGTTGGCGAGTTGATTTTTGAACATTAGGGTTGCATGATAATAATTGGAATGATGCGTCCGATATTGTGACAAAAATCCACAATAATTTTTGATAGTTCATCAAAAAGGTGCTAATAGTTTTTCATTTATAAAAATAAATATCTTCATTTAAAGAGTCAACAGTTTTTGGTTTTGTTTATAGTACATTTATAGTAGTCTTAGGTTTAAAAAAAATACTATATATAAATATATACATATATGTATATATGTACATATATATCATGCATCTCTGTAGACCAAACATACTCTCACTAAATGACTTACTATAAGTAAATTAACTGTGAAAGAAACATGCTGATACATTACTGACTTTTACATTAAAATGAGAAAAAAAAAGTCAATAACATTTTGAAAGATTCAGATTCCAAATAAAGCAGCATCGAGTGTGTGTCGCCCACCTGTTTGGTCAGGGACCTCCAGGGCCTCTTGTCTGTCAGGGAACGCCAAAGAGACAAAGAAGAAAAAGAGCACAAGTGTTTGGGTGGGCTTGGTCAGATAGCATCTGTATGACCTAGAAAAAAAATGTCCAAATGTACCGGGCAAAGTCACAACACACACACACCAACACAGAACACACACACACACACTATTTATACTGTCACAGTCTCACAAAGCCATTTGTGCCGTCTAAAGTGCCCCGTGCTCGTCTTTGTAGTAGGTGGAATGTCTCCATAAAAGCCTGCACTACTTTACCTCACTTTTATACAACAAAGTTCATCTAATTCAACTTCAAAGTGGGCATTAGAGGCTGCTGGCTACAGACGGGGTTTACACTGCTGCAGGTAAACGCAGGCATACAGGTGCAGTGTTGGCACGCAACACAATCACATGAAGAAACGGCAGCTTTTGGGATGGCAGCTTCTGACAACCTCGACCTGGGAGGACATTTTTAACCTGCGTGTGTGTGTTTGTGTGTCTGTGTGAGACGAACATTAACCACAGACTAAACAACTGAAGTAAGGCCATCTGCTTTGAGGTTTGCTGGCCAGGTTTAATCTGTTACAACTGGTAGAAGGCGTAAACAGCGATGACCTGTTTTAACCAAAGTTAGAAAATACACCACATTAAAATGTCATTAGTCACCTAAATAAATGAGTTCAGAAGTGGCCTCACCACATTTGATTACTGGTCCATGATGTAAGAAATATTGAGTGTATAAACGTGGACACATTCATGTAGTGTGATCAAGAAGTGTTGACAACAACTTCTGATTGTATGACTCTTGTTGTTAGGTGAAGAAGTGACAGTCTTAGGTGACTACATCTACAGTGACAGATTCATGAGTCTCCAGTACTTACTTCTCGGTTCATTCATGGTGACTGACTCGATGAAGTTCTGTGGAGTCATGAAGAGCTGTCCTTCATATTCAACGGAGCTGAACATTCGGAAGCGATGCTCATGGGACGACATGTACACGTCTCCTTCTTCAAAGTCAAACGGACGTGTCTGCGGACATTATGGCATCAGTAACACTCGGAGAACCACAGTGGTTTGAGATACTTTTTCAGCTTTAAATGTGCCACTCACACAGAGAGCTGAATAACAAACTTCATAATGAGCCACACCATCTATTCTTAGCAGCCACTCTCTCCATTTGGCTCTTTGAGGTTATAAATACAGTCAGCATCACCTCTGGCTGATTGCAATGATGTGAAAAATTACACACACACACACACACAGTCACGCAATGATTAGCATTTCTTTCCTGACTCCTTCTCCCTCTTGAGGCTGCAGCTCCAGTCTAATGAGTTGCAGTGTAGAAGAGCAGCTCCACCACAAAGAGGCTGCTTCAAGTTGTGTAATGAGTACGGAGCAGAGTTTCTATATTTAAACCTGTTTTCTTCTCAATCTACAGAACGTGCTAATGAACATGCAAATCCATTCATAAAGTTGTAAAGGTCTCCAACAAGGAGACATTTATATTCATGAAAAGTATTAAAGTGTGTGTCTTCACAGATATTAACCATGATGTGATTCCTGAGCTGAGGAGCCCAGAGCCTCCAGTCTCAGTGATGACTAAGGTGCACAGGCTGCAGTAAAGGGAACTGTAATACACAGTGATGCACTGCACCACATGGTGCTGGACAGTAAAACGCACAAAAAATGCCTCTAATTCAAAACTAATTACATGATATACCCGTGTACTACTATGCAGCCTGTATAATTTCTTGTAAGTACAACTCAACCTGTCCCTGGTGCCTCGTCTTGTTCTGGCTGCACTGCAGATGCTCCAGGTGTTTTCCCCTCAGGCTAACCAGTGTTCACAGCTGCAGCTCTTTCATCCATTACCTGGCCTCATCCACAGAGTAACCTTCCAGTTAAAATGTAGCCAGGAAAGTCTGTGCACTTATCAAAACGCTCATGAATATGAGCCGTCGTAAACTGTTGTAAACAGCTGTCGAATGTTTAACAGTGAAAGGCATTTGATTTGGTTTCACTACATTTTAGAAGCTCACGTCCAAGGAATAGCAGAACCCTGCTGCCACTCTTTTTATTTTCTATTACAGTCTGCACCGGTGTCATGGGAGGACAATGCTTGTCCTCCCTGAAAAACAAGAATGGGCAGTAAAACAAAAATAGCAATCGATGATGAACAGGACGGGGAAACGTCCATCGGCTATTCTTTTGACGAAAGATTAAAACATATGGAAAGACATATATAGGGTGCAGCTTATAACAATGAAAGCATTGTCTTCTTTGACTGAAACGATCATGAACTGTACAGAGCACAATAGTGACAGGACCAAATGTTTGCTCAGGTCATTCAGCTGGGTGCAGCAACCAGCAGTTAGCACAGACAACCATAGCATAGAGTAGAACTGAGTTTTCAGTTTGGTGAATACTAGCAAATTACAGTAGCATTGGAGAAAAGGAAATCTAATAGAGCACAGAAATTTGAAATCAGCTGCCTCACTGATAAACACAATCATTGCAGCAAAAAAGAACCAGAGCAGTTAAAAAAACACCTCTGATTTGTTTTTTGGTTTGGTTTTCTAATTTGTTGTCAAATGTGTCTTCTCCTGTGAGCATTGCTAAATACAGTGGGTACGCGCTACAGTTTCTAAACCTAAACACAGGTGGTGTCCACATTTTTATGGCTTAGGACCTAGCATTCAAATGACAGGGCTAAGGTGAAAAAATATGGAAACTTAAATCTTGGCTCACCTGACAACCATAGCTGTAGTACTACTAGTAGTAGTGGTAGTAGTACTGAACTGGTGCCATTTATAAAGATATTTTTGTTATTTTTGCCTTGAATAATAAGCCATTCATGTAGTACCCAGGTCCATAAGGTCCTGTTAAAACATATTTTTGTTGTTTAAGTTACTTGGTTACAGTACTACCGTGAACATTTATCTTCAAATAAAATTCACCTTTTTTAAATTCTGAACTGAAAAGGTATTTTCTACTGATCTTCATGAACGACTGCAAAAAAGGGCCGTCCAAACTGTTGCAGTGCAGAGCTCTGCACCGGCTCTCTGCACACCGACGCACACACACACAAACAGTGCGGTGATTTCAGCACTAGCTGGGGCGGACAGCGCCGGGGCTGCGTTTACGCACGCGCACGGTCCGCGCAGCCAAAACTGTGAGTAAACTGTTTCCACTGGGCGGTGATGTAGTGAATGACACAGTCTGTCCGCCCGACAGGAAATATTTAAACTGGCCGCTACGGCACGACCACAGAACAGAGCCGGGCCTGTGTGAGTGGGCCCGAGAGCTCAGTCACAGATGGAAACGTCAGGAGAAACAGCTCGGTGCAGGCGTTCAGGTACCGAAGACACCTGGGTAAAATAACGAATGTACCAAATACAAGCCCACAAAAAAAAAAAAAAAAAAAACACTCTTTGGTCAGCGACCGATCGGCTTATGTCACTGAGACTCAGCAGTTTTGATTTTCTCCTACAGCGTCAGCATCCTGTCATTGTTGTTGTTGCTTTTTACCTTGTCTTTGGCCTCGACGGTTGGGATGGATGGCAGCAACCCGTGAAGCCTACGTCTCTCTCCACCTCTGTTGCTCCACAATTGATTGTAAAAGTAAAGTGCCACGGAGCCTCCCGTTGCGAGACACATGCCCACGGCAACGCACAGATGTTTCCGTACTGGCCTGGCCGTCTGACCGTCAGTCAGCTTAGCTCTCGCCACTGAGCAGATGTTGAGTTTCCCAGCCAGGGCAGTCACTCTGCGGAAAGCTGCCATCGTTCCTGCTGCTGCTGCTGTTGTTGCTGCTGCTGCTGGTGAATGGAACTTTGCGGGCAGCATCAAATTATCGCGCGTTCTGGGCTTTTCATCGCGAGATATGCAGGCGTTCACTCATTGCTGAGGCTGAGGACAGAGAGATTTGACGTCTCACTGGGTCAGGTGTATGTAGTGAAAGATCAACCTGTGTGAGGTCACGTATGAATAAAGACGACAGCAGCTTAAGGTGACATTAAATACTTCACCTGTATAATAGCAAGGACTTTGAAAAGTAAAAAAAAAAAACCAAAAAACTTTACTTTACTACTCAACCTTTTGCTGATTAAACCCAGACACTTTCATTGATAAATCGTCTTGGGTGTTTACATGGATATTGCGCCTATTTTGAAAAGTGACCCTGAGTAGCAGGAAGATGGCTATTTTAATTTGGGGGGTTCAGACTTGTTATGTCTGTGCTTTACTTTCACAATCTTTCATTACGCTTTAATTTTGGAGTTTTAATCAACTGAACTGTTTCCCAAAATATTGGGACAAAAGAGGGGAAAAAAAGACTTCAGATAAAGCTCAGTTTTTTCTAGTAAAGCATGAGGCGTAGCTCAGCTGAAACTGTTGAGCCGCTCAGGTCTTTGTACAACAAGAGGAACCAAAAAGTCCTCTTTCAAAACTGTACCAATAAGTTTCCTAGTATCTAAAGTACCTATCACAAGGTTTAAAGTGTTTAAAAAAGGAGCATCTCTGGAAGTATCAGTAGTTTCCTAGTATAAGTGTTTAAAAAAGGAGCATCTCTGGATGGGGATGATCATACAGTAAGTGATCACGCTGTCAATATTCACGAGTCTTCACTTTCATTAAGGTGTGTGCAGTATCACATTACTGTAGCACTGGGAAATCAGGGTTCAAAGCAGTCACTGGAAACTAATATCAAAGATGAGTTCCCCATTTCAGTTTTTCATGTACGACTAATGTTAACCTGATGGGGCATTTCTGGGCCTTTGATGCTAAGAGAATAAAGGAACAGAAATTAATAGATGGGTGGTGTCACCTGTTCACACATGAAGCACTGAAGATCACTCAGAAATAAGAACCATTTAGCCAAGCAGTTAAAACCCATCAAACAATGACAATCAAAACCACACACACTTTAAGGGGGAATTTACCCCAATGTGACTCTTTGATTTATATTTCTCTTCATTAGTCGAATGTGATTATTCTCTTAGAGCTGACTAATAACGGCAACGTGTTTGGCTGTTTCAAATTTGAAATGACAAATGATATCTTTGAAGACGAGACACCATCAAAACAACCTGAAGAGGCTTTTTAAAACAAAACTGTGTGAAAAATGAATAAAACATGACGATATGTTTCCGTAGTCCTTCTAAATGCGGGACCCGTGGAGTTCCACAGACCTCAGTTTGGAAAACACTTGCATTACTAACCTTAAGGCTACTTATTTAATTATTCCATTATCCCTGCATTCGATTAGGTTGCAATTTCTTTGTGTGTGTGTGTGTGTGTGTGTGGGTGGTTGGTCGCAGAGTGGGGGTGTAACCCTGGGGCCTCCTCCTCCTCCTCCTCCTCATTGTCCTCCTCCAGGACTGCAGGCTTGGCTTCATTTTCTGTCCCCTGTCACAGTCAGAGCAGTAAACCAGAGCAGCGTGTATTTCACAGCGCGGTGACCATGGGAGCTGTTCACTTGGCTCCCTGAGTTGAAATGTGCCGTTGAGGTTGACGTCTTCATTCTGCCCAGGTCGATAGGCAATACATCAGGATCCGATCAGCCCGGGGGCGATTCTGATCGATCCTGTCTCTTCAAAAAAAACTTCAATTTTTTTGCTGGTCATAAATACTAATGAGGCGGGGGAGAGAGGGAGAAGGGGACACGCCAATCACACGCGGGCCTTTATGTCCCCATGCAGGGACTGTCCATGACTTATTATTATACGGTAGAACAGAGAAAAGCACGCAGGCGTCGTCTAAACACAGCATCGCATTTCTTGTCCCCGCGTCTCCCTCGGGATCGTCACAGAAATTCCCATTCGTTTGAAGAAATGACCGGTGTGGTCACGTGGACGCGAACACCTCTGCACCTTCCACTCATTTATCAACACGATTCCCAGGGGAGGGGGCAGCTGTGAGGACACGCGCACGAGTCTGAGTCTGTCAAAATCGATGCCATGATATAGACCAGTGGAGCACACGCGCCTGCGCCTCTCCGCCGAGAACTGCGGTGTGGCCCCGCTGCCAATAAGACTTGGAGGGATTGGATTGGAAATAAAAAGAATAAATAAAATGATTTAAAATTTGCATACACCAAAACAAAACTGACTTCTTCATACAATGCACTAATTTCCCCAGTGTGAAGTTCGTCAAGCGTTAAGTGTTGGGTTATTTTCCTTTGTGAGGCTGCAGTTCAAACAGGTTTATTCCCATATTGGCCGATCCTTCACAAGATCCCACACTTTGAAGCCTGCGCGTCTTTGATTCGTCTTTTAAGACCACAATTAAGGATATATGGGCTGTTCAAAGCGTTGTGGAAAGATCAATGAGGGGATTGACAGTCAAGTGATGTCGTTTGCACAGGTGTGTGTGTGTGTGTGTATGCGCGCGCGCGAATGCAGTGTCTGTGTAAAGCTGCAGTAAACGCGCGTCTGTGTTGCATAAAACAGGGGCAATAAATCAACAGCTGAGTGTGAAAATTACGCAAATAGGGGCTTTCCTCTGCCTCCTGAGTCATTCAGAAAAGTGGGCGTGCGCCTGTGAAGCGTTCAGACTAATGGCGATATCACTTTTTAGTTGGTGTGACATGCACTGACCTACTGTCTCACCGCGCACAAGTTGATGCAGAGTTGCGCACTATATTGCGACACATTCAACGTTAAAAAAACGCCCGGTGTCCAGGCCTGCTGTAGATGTCTTCACGGGGCAAATAAGAAATTGGGGTTAATTCTATGAGGAATTGTTTCAATTTCCTCTCCAAGCTCCTGCAGAGTGATCCCTGCACTGACACGGAACATGAAAGGTGAGAGAGGCAGAGGAGAGGAGAGGAGAACAGAGGAGAGGAGAGGGATGAAGGGGTTCCGTTTCAAACAGGAGCACAAATGAGCCGTAAAGGAGAGGAGATCCGGAGACATTTGCATTAAGAGGCAACTTAAGGTTGATTTCTGATACGGAGTCCTGATTTATAGGAGGTGCTGGTCTAACTGTGGGATTAATAGAGAGAGAGAGCGAGAGAGAGAGGGAGGGAGAGAGAGAGAGAGAGGGAGGAAAATCCTGATGTGCACTAGAGCAAAGGGGAGTATCCCGAGGTGAGGGGAGACATAGAAAGCGGCCACAAATCAGTAGAGGAGAAGATAAATAGAAGAGAGGAGGAGGTGACGGAGCAGAGCAGCAGCAGAGCCTCCCTCAATCACCCAGCGGAAGTTTAACGTCAATTAGCGGAGCTCTTAATGAAGGCTGTGGGTGACTGCGCCAAGACGCGCACTGATTGTGGATTTCTCTTGTTTTGCGATCAACTTTCCCTTTTGTCCATCCTTCTGTGGCTAGTACCGAGGCTTCCCGTCTGTCCTCTTGGTTCGGATCTGTTGCACCGCAAACCGGACCGGCTCTTTTATCTGTGATGGGGGCAACGGCCGAGGTGGGGAGTTTTGCCAACGCATTTCTGGACAGCTTTGGACACGCGGGTGCCGCTCAGGCTGCCGTTGGCTCTCATTTCGTTCTTACCCCAGCTGGGCCCATGGACTACAACTCTGCAAGTGGACTGATCACGGGAGGACACGGGCTGCAGCAGCAGGAGCACCTCGTGTCCGCGGAGAGGCTGTCCCGGAGCCTGGCGGACCTCAGTCATCTGAAGGGGATTCTGAGGCGGCGACAGCTCTACTGCAGGACGGGCTTTCACCTGGAGATCCATCCTGATGGCACCATACAGGGGACCAGAAAGGACCACAGTAGATTCGGTAAGAGACACTCATTATTATTATTAGTATTAGTATTAGTGTCATTTTTTGTAAGTTCATGTGAATTGACAGATCACCTTCACAAGTGTCTATAGATCACATTGTACCCTAACCACAAACAAAGCTTAAACCTAAACCCTAGAACTAGAACCTGTAAGATATAAGATAAGAACAGGGTCAAAACGCCCTCACACCAATGGCAGTACAGTGTAGACACAAACACACAGTGCAGTACAGCCACAAGACATAGGACATTATGACTGGTTAAAAAGCAATAACTTTGTTGAAAGCCTCAGACATAATGTCTGTCTTCACTGAGAAAGTCCACAGTTCCAGAAGAGAATATTTGGCCTGTTATTATGAAAGAAGGCATTAAAATACTACAACAACAATAAATAGGAATAGGAATTATTGTTGCTGTCATGTATTCATTATTATTATTATTATATTTAGTAGTAGCAGTAGTGGCACTTGCACCACACGCTAATTGTAATAACCATAGTAGCAGTAGTGGCACCTGCACCACACGCTAATTGTAATAACCATGGAATGAAATGACTGACAAGGTGCAATAACCAAACACCATGGGAGCAGTTGTTGTGGTAATAGAAGTTGACATGGTGTGGGGGAGTTCATCTTGGAAAACAAGTGCAGTGAAACAGAGTAGGAATAATATTTGCCCGTTGTCGTTCCCGTTACCCTTCCAGTCGGCACTGTACATTCACATCACACTAACAGTTACAGCAGAATAATGCTGCGATCCTCCAGCACAGCCACTGAACACGGCCATGTACTGTAACACAGCAGGGACCACTACAGACATATCTGTGCTGGTGTGGACATACAGCAGACATGGACTTTAGTTCTGTCTAATAGGACCTGTCACTGTATTGTAATATACTGAGTATCTTCCTGCACCACAAGTCATAGAAAAACGTTGTATACTTTACAGGTTATGTTAAAATGTGTATTTATATTTAGTAATGACAGATACCAATGATCATCAACTGGTGGCCCGCAGGCCATATCTGGCCCACGACTGAATAAAAAAAAATTAAACAAAAAGTGATTTAGTATGTTTTTGAGTGTCCAGCCCCCAAGGTGTCGCCCCAGACAAATTCTAGACAAATATAGTCGGTGACCTCTGATATAGACAGTGCTTCAGTAGGTTGTTTGCACATCAGTCTTTCACTGAAAAGGATACAATGTGACTCATTACTCATCATTCCTGGTGTATGATTTCAGGTATCCTGGAGTTCATCAGTCTAGCTGTGGGACTGGTCAGTATAAGAGGAGTGGACAGCGGCCTCTATCTTGCCATGAACAGCAAAGGAGAACTCTATGGATCGGTAAGCAAACAAATTCAAATTACATGAGGAACCTCCATGTTTTCAGTACATTTTAAAATCATCAAAAACTATAGAGTTGAAAAATGAAGTCTAGTTTCAAAGTCTCGATTTCCTGTATGGAAGAGACACTTCATGCAAACCGGACATACACAGGAACACACAGGGCGGCTGCAGTGGCTACAGCCCAATCAGACAAGGAGAGTTGAGTGGAGAGGCATTTTAAAACATTAACCTCATATTGTTTTTCTTTTCACAGGAGAAGTTGTCAGCTGAAAGTGTTTTCAGGGAGCAATTTGAAGAAAACTGGTACAACACTTATTCTTCCAACATCTATCGACACGGAGATAAAGGAACATTTTACTTTGTTGCTCTAAACAAAGACGGCACCTCTCGAGATGGAACGCGGTCAAGGCGACACCAGAGGTTTACCCACTTCCTACCGAGGCCTGTAGACCCAGACAGAGTACCTGAGTTGTACAGGGACTTACTGGGCCAAAGCTGAGACTGTGACTGTGCCGTATTTGGACCTTGTCAGAGTCAAGTGTGCGCAAATCCCGAACTCCTCTTGAAGACAGAGGGAGATCTCTGATCTAGGCCAAACTAGTTCATTTGATGTGCACCAAAATCACCGCCTCACTTCGGTGAAAGGAAAGAAGGAACTTCAACATCTCCGTCTGAGATTGAGGCCATGGAACGATCTTCCATGGAAGTCGTAAAGGCTCTACGATGGACAGAGAGGCTTTCTCGCACCTTTACTGGCCTGTGCAGTGGCTCTGATGTCAGAACAAATACAACAGATTTCTTTTGAGTTACAACCAATGATATCAACTACCTGCATGTTTCAAAGAAAAACATCCCCAGGCTGCTATCATTTCTAAACTGTGTGGCTGTTCAGTCTAATCATTTTTACTTCTCTGTAGACCTTGTGATGTTATACACTATGTGGCTGCTATGTAAAAGATTTATTCAAATTGATCATTACACTGAGTGGGCGGTTTACACTAAAAGGTAGTTTTATGCACTGGAAAGCAGACGTTTTTGTTGTAGAAAACCGGTCTGCATCTGGCTGACTTTGTTAATGACATGGCTGGGCTCTTCTCTGAACTCCTACAAAGACCAGATGCTCAGAATGTGACTCGTACGAGGATGGAGTATGGGCCAACAAAAGAAAGAGCCCGGATGCATTTTTTTAAGGATTTCTTCTGTAGTACACCATGTACTCTGGTGGAACTCTATAAAGACTCACTAAAAGGATTTGTTGAATTCCAGCTGACCAAACTGAGAGGTTTTTGACAGATGTTTGTTGACAGATTTTATTCTTATTTATGAGTTTCTTTTTTTAACCTAGGACAAACAGTATATTTATTTCATATATTTATTTATTTTTAGGAATATATTTTTACAAGTGAAAAAATAAAAAAACCCAAAAGAAGACTTGATGGAAATGTTCTCTTTTTTCATGACTGTTTCAAATTCTCTGTTTGTAACCTAGATCTAATTCGTACAGATTCAACTGTATGGATGGTGAAACTGGTGAAAAGTCTACACAGACAATTATTCATAGTTGGTAAATATATCAGCTGTCAAACAAAAAAGAAATCATTGCAACATCTTATACTTCTTAGGACCAAACTACAAACAGAATTAATATATAATTAATATATTAGTACTGTTAATATGATTCCGATTTGTAAACAGTACCACAGAGTGGATCAGTGACCTGTACAGTTCTCCCTGTGTGTTTAAATGAGGGAGTGAGTTAGAGAGGGCTTCACTGGGTTAGGGGTGTCCACACGTTTTTGTCTTGGGAGCTACCATTCAAACGACCAGGCTAAAGTGATTGACCTACACTGAAAACATTAAACTATATTTACTAATATAAGCTCAACACTGGGTACTGATTAAATGCATGTAGCTTCATGGCACAATATGATTATATATATACTGTAGTATATGGTCACTACTACCATGCCATGCTTTAACAAATTTGGGTGGTTATTAAAAAAAGAAAGTAAAATAAAAAGACTTAAATATAAGGGAATATATATTCATATTTAAAAATAATATATATTTAATCAATTCACATAATATAAATGTGAACAAGATAAATATCCTTAAGTAAAACAAATATTTATCACAATTACCCTCTGTCATAACTAATATTAAGGTATTTGTTAGGAACTCAGCAGGTTAAAATGTTATGAAATTTCTCTTCAGGAAAATAAGACCTCACAGCGTTAGCTTAGTACATACTCTAAAAGGACGACATAGTGATACTATTTTTATACCTAAGTATTTTACCAGGGTGTGATAAAGAAACACGATCCATGATTTTCTTGTATAGGACACAAGCTTAGTTCTAGTACTTTCTAATAGGCTGATAATCAGGGCCAAATATTGTAGATCTGTTGTTGGACAATTATATTCTGTCACATACAGTAGGTCATGATGATGTTATGTTTCAGATGCTGCATTCTACCTAAGAATATACATTACTTCATTACGTCAGTGCCAGCATATGTGTTCGGCGGTGCAGAAACCTGCTTTAGGTAAGATTACAGGATGCTGTGCCTCACATCTGTTCAGCTGTGCAGGCAGAAGCTCTGTTACAGTACGTCTCTCTGGGATGTTTTTGAGCGTGTATATAATCCTGGGATAGGGGCACACAGTGGGGACGAACATATATCAAAAATACTGTGTCTGAGTACCAGCATATATACACTGACTACTGAGTGTGTTTAATAAACAGAGAACAAGGAAAGAAAGAGAGAGAGAGAGAATGAGTGCGCAAGAGAGAGAGAGAGAGAAAGAGAGAGAGCGAGGGAAGGAGGGAGGCGCGTCGTG